CTAATAAGTTCGTCGCTACGAAAGAAGAATGCTCCCGCAATGTAAATCGTCGCTGTTTATATACATTTGCCGTGTCGCAGCGCGCCCCGCCATACAATGGATCATCGATGATCCGCTTCTCCTTACGCTGATCTGTACCACTAGAGACCCTCTAATCAGAGTCGCGAAATAACGTCAATAAGGTTAGGTCGGCGATACCATTTTTCTGCAAAAACCGGAAGTAGCGATTATAGTACATTGTGTAACAGTGGGGGAAAGTTGTTTATTGTGGGGACGGGCGCGACGGCACGAGCGAAGCGCGTACATACACGCGCTCGTGTATGTCAACCTATAAACAAATATGCCCCCACTGTTACACATAGAATTTTTTTTTTATGTAGGGCACATTACGTGCACGCGTGAAGAAAAATATCCCTGCTTAAAATTTTCTATAGAAAACTATTAAGAAAATTCTATAGTTTTTAATGAGCGTTTTGAATGGGTAAATCCCAATCCGCAATAGTTTTCTATTATTATACTCATAGAATCTTATTGATAACTGTAGAGCTTCTATAGTCGCTCTCGTACGCTACTATAGAAACTATTAAAAACTATAAATACCTATATAAACTCTATATGTTCCTATAGTTTTTTATAGAAAATTTTAAGCAGGGATAATACTACTGCACGTACGAGCACCATCGCAGTTGCAATGAAAAGACTATGACTGTGATACATTAACACCTAATACATGTGAATCTAAATACAGTTATCAGAAAGAAATTACATTATTATATTAATACTGTATTTCATAAAACTATATTTTCTAAAATGACTGGTTGTTCTGCTCCAGATTGCAATAATTCTGCAAAAAAGGGTTGTATTATGAAAGTCTTTCCTCGTAATCCTGAAAAAAGAGCAAAATGGGCAGCGAATGTAGGTCGACTTAAATTTGACGCCATGACTATTTCCGGAATTTTTTACTGAAAAATGTCAGCACCAATCAAAATTGGAAACGTTATTTCGCAACTCTGATTAGAGTCTCTATGCGCCACCGATTCGCAGCGCTATCAGTCCCCGGGCGTACCACTCTTCTCTATTAATAACTCGTCATTTTCTTACATTTATAAATAAAGATGAATTAGATAGAATGAAATGATGAGATTTAAAATAGTTCTGAAAATAGATAAAAACAATTCTTATTCCCGGTCTGATATTAGTAAATAATCGTAAAAAGTGATAAAAGACACCATAAGTGGTTTTACTCAATGTGCAGGCATAATTTATTTTCACTTTCACGTGCCTTCTATCACTTTTTATGATTATCTTTATTCAAATTATTTTTACTTACAAATGGCACGTGATAATTAAAATTAATGTGTCATTTCTTATTTCTGACATCACGATTCAATATGGCTGTGGTGATTACTCATTAGCAGAAGCCTTAAATTATAAAATTATTAAGAGAATAAAAGCAGATGTACTTTTGTTTAACTTTCTAAAACAAATAAATTGAAAAATAAAAGACTATATAAAAATAATCCACAACAATAAAAAAGGGCAAAATTAGAATCAAATTTTCTAATGAATATACTGTAAACTTATATAAACATTAAACGTATAATCAGATAATCTAAAATTATAAATACATAAAATTAATCGATAATGCTTCAAAAATACATAGAATTAATATGAATATTTAAAATTAACATAAGTGTGTTTATTATTTTATTAGTTTCGAGAGAGAGACTCCTAGATTGAGTCCTCTTCAGATCTTAAATAGTCTTACAACATAGATAAAATTATTAAAAAGGAAAAAAACGTTAAATAGGCGTTTTGCTGTTGCTCCTGCGAATTTTCACGCAGAAACATGACGTTACTAGTGAACGAATGAAATATCGTATGTAACCAATATTTCTGTATAGTTAATGTAAATTGATATAAAATATTATATTTAAAAATTATATGTCAATATTCTAAGAAAAAAACTCACCAACAAGGTCATGATAAATTTAGAATTACTATGCAATCCATTCATTAATATAAATAGTTTGTTAGTATGCATTAAAATATGGTATAATATAAGATATAACAAGTTGACACATTGCAAACTTAAACAGATAACGGCTTGTGTTTATTAAAACGAAATATAACATCCATCAAGAAGGATCGAATCGACTGAGCGAGAAGACAATTAAACGATGTTGAAAGGTCATATCTGGAGACATGGTAGTGTCTCGGCGCTAAGCCAAAAGCAGCGACACTGCCGTGGCTACTTTACGTAAGCCGACAAGTTGAGGCAGATTGAGATTATCAGATCTCAACAACGGCTGAATTGATAAAATTTTATGTACGCTCAATCAAATAGCCACTGTTTAAATTATATAATAAAGGTGCTTTTATTTTTTTTTCTACGTACTCTACGAGCAGAGATATCGCGACGCAAAGTCCGAATTTTTTCACATCGTTTCTAAGATACTTCGTTATTATTATTATTATTATTATTATTATTATTATTATTAACGTCGTCGACCAGAGAGAAATGTGTACGTTTTTTCGATAATAGAGGGCTTTTGACTTTATATCTATCTATATATATCTAATCAATAGATCAGTGTTGCATGGTATATATACATATACACGAAATATCGAGATTATGGTTGAGGAACTATGTGTCCAGGTATATGTATACTATCGAGAAATTAAGTGTCTAGATGTTGCCTACATGTTCGCCGTCGAGAAAATGGGGTGTCTTGGTATTATTAATATAATTATAAATTAGAGCTTATAAATAAATTAGAGCTTATTTTAAAGGATATTATTTAAATTTAACTAAATCGATTGAAATAAATAGAATCATAAAATATGGAAAGTTATTTATGTAATAAGATTGGAAAACACTTTGCGGAATAATTATGTTAGATACGATATGAGATGCATATAATATTATTTTCTCTCTCTTGCGTGACAATTGCCAAGGTATTGAGTAGTAATAACTAGTTAATAAGTTAAAAATTAAATAAATAGTTAGAAAGTTAATAATTTTCAACTTAATTCAGATAACTTTAAATAAATTAATTTTAAATTTAATTTATATATATAGTTACTTTTTAACTTTAATTAGTTAACATTTTTTAAGTTAAAATTTTTTTTATTTCTGTAATACATAATGTATTGCTGTACATACGATTGATTTGTACGACAAAGTTTGCAAGTATGTTCATAAATATCATAGTCATATCAATTGTTCGTTTCGTATCTTCGTATCAATCGTTCATACTGTTCGTAATTCGTATCTCGTATCAATCGTATTATTTGTGTCTGTATCTGTTATTTTTTTTTTTTAATTTTTCCGTATTTTTTGGGGAAAAAAAGGGAAAAATACACTATTTTTCTCTCGATTTTATTTTTCCGGAAAATTAAGAATACTCTAAAAGAGTGTTTTTAAATTTTTTTCGTATTTTTCAGAAAAAAAATCTTTTTCGGAAAAACTCAGTATTCTTTCCTCGATTTTATTTTTTTTAGAAAATTAAGAATTCTAATCACCAATTTCATTTTCTTAAAAGTTGTAAATAATATATGTAATGTTTTTAGTGCAAACTGTTTTACACGAAAAGTGAAGTGAATTAACTTATTATAAACTGCAAGAAAATTATAAATGCCTGATACTTTTATATAAGGCATATGTACATATAATATTTAATAATTTTAAACATCATCTTTAATCATTTATATCAGAAAGAAAATATTTTACAAAGTGAAATAAAACAACAAAATAATTCAAATGAACAATAAAATATCGATAAAGAATTTATTATATATAAAAAACACATAGAATTTTTAATTTGAACAAATAAGAAACATATTTCCAAATACAACCATTTGATTCAAACAACTATATTGCAATTATTTGATTCAAAGTATTGCATAGTCCAATAATTCACTTTTATATATTTCACAATTTATTGAAAAAAATATATTTTAATTTCATTCATAACGGTATAACGCGGCGTTAGATACCAAAAGAACAAATAGTGCTCTCCTGATTTGTATACTTCACTTATTGTTCCGCTGCTCCTGTACGTATATATATATATTAATGTGTACTTGAAAAAAGTTTAAAATACTTTTTATATTCTTTTTTTTAAATCATACGATCTTATAAATTTTTTTTTTACTATAAAAATGACAAATGATTTTAATTGTCGTTTCTAGCATTTCACGCTGATAATCTTGTTTGCGGTTAACGCGGAATTCTTCGATGTTGCATCTGCATCTTGTTATTATTGCATTGGCATCTGTCATTACTTTGGTTCTGGTTTGATGATAATAAGATCGCTTATTTTTCTCTGTCGTTTTTGTTTCAAATAGCGATTTGAATAAATGGAAAAGAATGTAATCAATATAGTTTATCTGTTGGTATTCATATACGTGTATACATAAAAACAATTATACTATAAACAACACGCAATTAAAATATATCTTATGAAGATATTCTTTAAAATATCAAAAGAAAGAAGTCTACTTTAATAACAACATAGTCATTATCAGTTATAAAATTATTAATTATGTAGATATTGTTCAAATGTTATCTCTATAATTTATTAATGGATAAAGTTCATGAATAACGTATTTGATAAAACGAACAATTATATTTTAAATTTTAATAATAATGATTGAATTTTGTATATACAATATTTTGTATTTCTTTATTAACTATATATTTTATAATAATCTCCCTTTTACAAACAATTTGTGGAGTATTTGAAAAAAATTTTACAGCATAATCCAGTTGCCCAATAAATAATTTATTCATTAGAAGTGCAAAATATATACAACACTTGTTGACTTTAAAATTAAACATGTTTAAAAAGAGACAAAGTGCATTTGAGAGTTATATAATATACGTATAATATTAATAGTAATAATAATCATAATAAGTATATAATTTAATAAATAATATATTTTATAAATAATAATATATTTTATAACTAATGCTTTTACGATGTCGATAATAGAAGTCATCCTTTCTGAAAAAAATAAATTTATATATACAAAAAACTCTAGAAATTATTAAATTATTGCTAAAGATCTTTTATATAAGGCAATGTTCAAAATTTATATTCATAACTTACTTGGTGTGCATTTCAATTTTTCTTTTAATGATATTTCAGACAAAGGCCACCTAGACCTAAACTACATAGTAATGGCCCTAGTAAAGTGCACACAAGTTTCTGTAACATTTAAAGAAGCCTTCTGTACACAAAAATAGTAATAATGAAAGATTTTTGTTTAATTTTTTAGTACATATTTTAGCACTTAATATAATTATTAACATTATTAAACTTTCAAAGTTTTATTATATTATAAACAATTATTAAAGATCTGTTGCCTGAATATTTATTAATAGATTAGTTTGAATATAATTAATTTTTGTCATATAAAATGATCGATAATAATGTTTTTCTTAATACCGATGAGAACATCTCATCGTAACAGTCGAGCTGGATCTTTAATGCTTCTAATAGAATATCGTGTGAATTTAGGTATATATACTACGTATGTAGATGCTTAAATGCACGCCGAAATTTTTTCTGACTTATAACGCAAACTCTAATAAGCTATTGCAGTACTATTACGAATTAAATTGATTAATAATCTAATAATTTTTATGCTTATATCATCTTGGATCTTAATAATGTTGAATAACATATTAAAATCTATGAATGACATATTAAAAATTTGTAAATAATTAATTTACATTGCGAAAAATATTATCTCGGCTGGAAATCAAACTCAGATCTCTGGCATTCCATGCGAGAGTTCTAAGCTTTTAGACCACCGAGGCAACGGAGATCCAGTACTGTGGTAGTTTATTAGAGTTTGCGTTGTAAGTCTGAAAAAATTTCGGCACGCATTTAACAATCTACATACGTAGTATATAAATTTATACGATATTATATTAGAAGCATCCAAGATTCACCGCTTGACCGTTACGGCATTCTCACATCGGTATTTAGTTCAAAACTCTCATGATCCAATAAGATTTAATATTGAATGTTTTCCTTATTATGTATTTTTTTAATCTCTTTTTTTGGAATACATATTTCTTTTATTTTAATAATAAATATAATGATTTTGTTATAATTTATTTTTATATAATCCTTACCAAAACGACATCTATTAGTCCTATACCACCAATATCAATATGGCCTGGTGGCTTACCACCATTACCACCATTATCACCGTTATCACCGTTATCACCATTGCCACCATTGCCGCCATTGTGTCCACCATTGTGTCCACCATTGTGTCCGCCATTGTGTCCGTCATTGTGTCCACCATCGTGTCCATCATCGTGTTCACCGGAGTTTTCACCAGAGTCTTCACCAGAATTTTCACCATTTTCACCAGAGTCTTCATCAGAGTGTCCAGGAGAAGGTTTTGGATGAGAAGGTTTTGGATGAGAAGGTTTTGGTTGAGATGGTACTTTCGCTCGATCAGGAGTCTAATTAAAAAAAAAAAAAGAGTAAAAGAAGAAAAAGCTGAATCAGAAAAAGTTTATTAATAGTTAATTTAGTTAACAATTTTTAGCACAAAATTTGTCAAGTTTGTTAGAGTAAATAAGTAATAAATATAAGTTCTGATCTTAATATTTCTGTCTGAATTATAAATTTAAAAAATCCTAAAGTGAAACTCGAACTTCGATCGCTATTTTACTGATGACATTGATAAAATATTTTTATATACTACTACATTAATTGTATTCTTATGCGTTATCAATTTTGATGTTCTTAATTTTAATTATTTATATTGAGAAAGATCTTTTAACCATAGGTCGAAACGTATATGTTTTTGTATGATTCCGAATGAATTGTTAAAAATATGCACTTATAAATAGTGTTGGTTTATATCGGCAATTTTTGTTTTTATTTTCTTGATTTACTACATTAATGTCTCACGCACATATGTATATTTATAATTTTTCAAATGGAACAATAGCGTTTTAACATGCTGGTGACATACACATTGTGTCACAGATTTCCAGTAATATACTAAAATATTTAATCAATGTTCTCAAATTGAATAAAAAAATAATAATTTCTAAACATTGAATAGTTTCAAGCTTCGGCTCTGCGCTACATCAATGAAAATTGGTCGGCACTCAATGTGTTAATTAAACATCTAACCATAAGTTTAATTCTAAAAACACCATACTGTTTGTCGTGTAAATTATTAGTCGATTGCATACGTGCAGATTATAAAAAAGTTTTTATATCAAGTAAATGTTACAATACTAACAGCTTTATTGATGCTAATTGAACTAAGAAATGATATAAAGATCTCATTTTAAACAATTTTTTTCGTTTTCGACTGACTGATAAACTATAGACACATATTATATTTTAATCCTGAGAAAGAATTTTCGAATTTTTAAAAGAGAAAGAAAACACACATCATAAGAGAATGTTATCAATCCAACGATACAAACATCTGTGAGAATCGTTGAAGAAGGACCTGTGAGTTCCGAAACGTTTACTTTTATATTAATTAATTTGAAATATATGACTTTGCAACCAACATCCTGCGTTAGTGGCTGTATGCTCATTTATAAAAAATTGTATTGTTTATATCATTGAGTTACGTTAAATTGTTTATCTGTTAATGTTATAGATAATATTTCTATATACATTTACTGACATTATTTTCTTCTGACAAGTTGATTGATACAAAGCAATAATGAAAATTATGTATTTGTAATAGGGGCAACCAAATAAAACGTAGCAAATAAGAAATTTAGATATTGAAATTACTTATATATATTATACAATTATACATGTTAATATATTCGCCGTAGTTGATAAAGCAATTCTTTCATTGCGAAATTAGACGATAGATATCTTCTTCACAAAATTTCTTAAACTGGGTTCAAACTCACTCGTAAATAGTTTCTTACACTGTTGTGTCCGATAAAAATGTTCTGTCTTTCAAATTCTTCTTCAGTACTCCGATTTTGTAACTTTCAACGACAGTTGGTCATTATCATGTTGTTGCGCAGCTTTTTTACCATGTATAATATCTGCGCAACAATAATATCGTTAAAAGTTACAAAATTAGGGTACAACTAGGTTTCTAAAGAAGTGGAAATCTCATAGCGACACAGTTTCGGTGAGAAATAGTGAAGCATTCGGTCTACAGCCCCTTATCGCTACGTGATTTCTACATTTTTGGAGACCTGAAGAAGAATCTGAAAGGTAAGAAATTTTTGTCAGACATGCAGGAAGTTGTTTGCAAGTGCATTCGATCTCCGTCCAAGAAATTATATATAAGCAAATAGAGCATCATCTGATTTCACAATGGAAAAAATTCCTTATCGTGGTGATTATTAATATATTAGATAATTTCAGTAGCTGAATTGTTCATTGACTACGTTTCGTCGGAATATGTGTAGTAATAAAATTCCTTTAAAATTATTATACATATATCAACCTGTGATATACTCTTATAATATATTAATGTATACATACAGCTTTTGCATAAACGATTCCGACAAGGGACAACAACAGAAGTATGTAAACTGCCTTCATGGTCACTGTACGTCAAACGCAATGTATTATATACTTATAGTCTGAAACTACTAAGTTTCTCTCTGTCAAGTGATATTTCTTCACTTTGAGCAAAGTCAATTGGCGATTGAAATATTTTTTTGTGAATTTGACTTATAAACTCCTTTATAAAGGAATACTGTATCTTATCATTCATTTAAAATAGTGCGAAAATTATAGCATGAAATTATTGTCACTATACTTTTAAAAGCAGTTATTTTTGTTATCGCGAATGAATATTATATATCAATGACATATATATTAACATATATATGTCATTGAAAGATTATATAAGTCGATGGTCCTTTATATTATAGGTCGTGTCTTAATTATACATTTTGCAAAATTAAATATTTTACAGATAAATAATAAAACGTATATATTAATAAATTATAGTATTTTTTTTTGCATTTTTTACTTTTTTTGTAATTATTGTAATATGGAATCGCTTTCACAATCCTTACTAATATTTAAGAAAAAAGAGCAAAACGTTACCTTAATTATTCTTATATGATATAATATTCTTATAGTAGACTCTATAAGTTTAAATAATGTATTCTTATATTATTAATAATAATTATTTTATATTAAAGAAATTGTATATAAAGTAACTTGCCGACTTATATATAATGGGGATTTATACATAAATAACTTTATAAAACATTTTTTCAAAATTCACCATCGATTTATTGATCATAAAATTTTTTTTAAATCTGTTTACTATGTACATTAATTGCCATTAATAACTTTTTAATTATTTGATTGTTAAAATTATACGAATTGTAGTGAAAATAACTTTAACTGTAAATGGCTATTGCTGAGATCGTCATCTAAATTCTATTTCTACGGCTTTATATTCATTACATATTTACATTATTAAACCTATTTTACAATTCCATAGGTATAATTGTAAGTGGTTGTAGTTATAAGAATTGACCAATAACAGTCGAATATTCTTCTCGTATTCGGTGATTGACGATTTTTATTACAATTACAACCACTTATAACTACGCTTATGTAGTTATAGAATAGGTCTCAGAGTAAAATCGTTAAAGAGTACACACTACGTAAGAATTAAGAGTATGCATTCAGTTTTACGACGCAGGCTATCAGATCGCAGTAGCTGTAACTTATACGGAACGTGCTTTTTTTGGTTATTTAATTTATGTAAAAAAGATATTTTTGCGATCGTTAAAGGAGATAAAGGAGATTAATAAACCTTGCGATTTTAACATTTTTTTGAATTTTATTTGTTACAAAGAAATAGATCGGTTTTTATATTAAATTGTCGCTTTGTGATTCTGTCTCATTTATATATTGTGTGCATATACAGTATACATACACTCTGTATTTAATGATATATATTTACTTAATAATATCTATATATAATAATTTATATACAATTATATTAAATTATTAATTATACAATAGCAAAAAGTGAGGGCTTGAAAAAACGCACTTGGAAACTTAATGCAGCCTAAAAAAATAATAGCTGCAGATGATGATAATGATAATGCAATTTATATTTGTAACTGTTTGTATTTGTATTTCAAATCCGATAAAAATTGGATCTAGTGACAATAGGCTGTCTAATGTCAAGTCTAGACCTATATCGCTCTGGAATTGTCAAAACTTATTAATTAATTTTCAAAAGGTTTTAATTTTACTTAGCAATCATTTTGTGTAATACTGTTTAAGTAATACCTATTAAAAGTTCAGCATTCCCTAGCAATAAAAAAAAGCAGTTTAAGCAAAAAAAATATACGTTGAATTTAATTTTGATTCCTCTATATATCAATTTATTAACAAATACTCGAAACTTTTTAGATGCTATAAGTATCAAAAATTGTTAGATTGCTTGTCAATTTAATTAAGTGATATTATTGCGGTAGTAAGTATGTATGCGTCAATGCTGAAAAACTATCAGCGTCGTGATTTATGGGGGGACTACAAACGCAGTATATAAAATTCACACAATTATAATAAGCACTGTAATCCAGCTTTGACCGTAAATGGCTTCTTTCCTAGTTTATTATTGTTTATTAATTTATTAAGTTTTATTAAGATCAATTGTTTATACTTAAGAACGTTTCCTTGTGAGTCGAAAAGTCTACCATTTTGAAATTTTTATACTAGTTAATGAGATATTAATTTCTAATGAAACACATATCCGATCGGTCCACTAAATGCAAGTAATGATAAAAGATAAAAGAACAAATCTGCGCCTGCATAACGGCAACCATCAGTCACGAATGGATAATAATTAGTCTTTGTAAAAAAAAGGAGTATAAGTAATTCATTTATATCTCTTTTACAAAGATGCTGATATCTTTAAATACAATAATATAATATACGTGACTGATGACTATTGATCTGATTGATGCGCAAGCATTGTCTATTATCTCCATCTCTCATCGCTAAATGCAAGCGCGCTGCAAGATACAACCGTCCAACGTTCAAAATTTCTAAGAGTGCGGAAAGAGTTGTTTATAGTTATAACACAAATTTACGCTTACGAAATACATTTTGCAAACACATTCGAGAATACGATCATAAAGAAATAAAAGAGATGATTGGCGACGATTGAGTATCAAAAAAGCAAATATACGAGTTTTATGAAGATAAAGATATCGTCTAATTTTAATAACAATACATACTTGCATATTGTAACTAACATACAAATTATAGGCCAGGGAAATGATGTAAATTTAATAAATTAATGATATTTATATTAATATATGATGGGAAAAAATATAGGTAATATAAATTAGCAAATAAAACGGTGTAATACTATTTTTAATAATACTTATTTTTAGTAGAATTCTTATATTGTTAAATTTAAGTTTTTTAATTCTTATGCAATTTATCACGTATCAACTTTCAAAAACAACGTAATATAATATTTAAAACGTATTTTATTAGTAATTTCAAGTTATACATATATATAAACTTAATTAAGTATTACATATTATAAAATTATTTAAGTATTATAATATTGTAGAGTGCGTGAGGTGTGCGACATATGGGCGTGTAGTGACGCATAGCGCCGAAAGGCGCGAGTGGATGAAGATTTATTATCCGTTTTGCGAGTTTTGCGAGTCTTGCGAGAGTTTTGTGAGTTACTAAGAGACGAGTTTGATAAGAGTGATTAAGAGATAAGTGAGGCGATCAGGAGCCGAAAGAGTTTCGCGTTGAAGGACGTGAGAGATTGAGCATCGTGGTGCGTAAGAGCTTTGTATGAGGTTTGTATGACGAGTGTCGACGGCGAGTTATTTGTGCGAGCTGAGAGAGATCATTGATTAAACTTTATTTTGTACCGCACAAAAGACATTATATTTTGTTGAGTAAGTCTAACCCTACATTATATATTATATTTTACACATATATATGTGTGTATGTGCGTACGTGCAATTATATAATATATATTATATTACATCTGTGTGTGTGTTGTACACATATATTTTATATATAAAATACATATGTACGCGTACATATGGTACATACAGGTATATATGTATATGTAATATGTACACATTTATATATAATCCGAGAAAAAAATGTATATGTATATAAACATATTTTGTATCAAGTTATATAGCTTTTTATACAGAATGTTCAGCGTAACAATCAGCACGATTTTTTAAACGCTCCTGATAATTAAAAAAAAAGGTTGAAAGGTGATTATATCCAACTATTATGCGGGCTACAGCATGAGATAAAAAAATAAAAAAAATTTTTTTTATTAGAAAAGTTAAGGCATCTTGAATTTTCTAAATACAACCATAAAGTTTTTTTTTCTAAAAATTGAGCTCTTCAAGATGAGTTCAACGCTCTATCGAGATTGTCCCTTTCATTTATGTTTTATTGATTTTATTGATATACATAGACCCATAATATTTATCACAAGTATTCATTAATAAAGGAATACGTTCTCCGGATTTATCTCCAATGGATTTTTTTTATAGGGATATCTGAAATCTTTTGTGTATCAAACACTAATAAATAATATTTAAAATCTTAGAGAAAGATTAATTACAACTTGTGCAACTTCAATAGTATATTAGCTGCTACGCATAGTAATTTATTAAAAAGAGCAGAACTTTGTATTGCAGAAAGAGGCAAGCAATTTGAACACTTGCTTACATAAGTTACTGTTTTTCTTTATTAATATTTATTTATAATGCTGCAAATTTGATATTAAATATTAATAAAATGAATAAAATTTGTTCACATAAGTTAATAAGTTCACGCAAGTATTCCTTTATTAATGAGTATTTGTGATAAATATTATGGGTCTATGTATATCAATAAAATCAATAAAATCAATAAGACATCAATGAAAGTGGCAATTTCGATAATGCGTAGAATTTTGTCTTGAAGATCCCTACAATATTATAGAAAAAGATTGTATGGTGCTATTTAAAAAATTCAAGATATCCTTGACTTTTTTTAATAAAAAAAATTTTTTTTAAATTTTTTTGTCGTATGTTGTAGCCTGCATGAAATAGATGGATCCATCATCATCAAAAATCGTCTTTCAACCATCTTTTTTTAATTGTCGAAAGTGTTTAAAGATTGTACGGACCGTTACGCTGAACACCCTGTATACATATAATTGTGTATAATTTTATGTAATTTTATGTAATTTTACGTAATTTTATGTAATTTTATACAATTATATATAACTATATATAATTATATATAATTTTTCCGAATATATATGAATGTATTTACATTCATGTGTATAATTTTTAATTTAATATTAATTGAATACATTTAATTATATATAAAAAAAATATTTCTTTACGAACTTTATACACATAATGAACAAATTTTATATAAGACAAATTAAACAAATTAAGCAAATATTATCTAAATTTTAATATTATAATACCTGAATATTAATTTTCTGTTAATTTTTCATAATTAATTTTTTGAATTATTTGAATTTTGAAACTATGACATATCACATTTTACAATTGTTTAGATTGAAATTAATAAATTTTCAGATTTTGTGTTCTTTGGATGTAACGTTCTCCGCGTTTTGTACCACGCGGTGACCCCACGATACACGATCATGT